GCCATGGATATTCTATTGCAACGCGGCGCCAGCCCTAATGACGTGGTGCCCGTGAAGTTGCCTTTTCCTGATACCCGGCTTAATTGCCCCGCATCCAACGTGATGAAATCGGTGTACAAATCGCACACACGTTGGGACCGTTTCTACTCCTGTGAGCGGGCGGAGACACTTCTCGACGAAGGTGCCAACGCTCTCTATCTTACCCTTCTGAAGTCGTCCAGTTACAGCTGCAACTATTATGATAGGAACGAGGAAGGATCTCGGGCGCGCGCGGATGCTGGAACTGACGCAGCGAGACTACTGATAAGGGCTGGGGCATCGTTGATCACACACACCGGGTTGGGACTTCACGCACTTCACCAAGCATGCTGCGGCTACGATTTCGAGATGACCAGGTTCCTGTTGGAAGAGGTTGGAGCGGACCCAAACGTCAAAGACCCACTCGGGAACACACCGATGCATTACATGGCGCTTGCCGTCAAATCATCATATGACCCGTACCAAAACTTACCCCTACCGAAACGACGTGAGGCAATTGATCAGTTTACTCCTCCGTCATGGAGCGGACATCAACGCTGAGAACGCAGCCGGATACACCCCGCTGCACTCTTTTCTGCGTTCTGAATGGTCAAGATTCTCTAATGCTGCGACTGAGGCATGCTTTGCGTTTCTTGACGCAGGTGCTTACGTCATTTCGGAGCGTTTGCTAGATTTTTATCTGTCGACGAGCCGTAGGCCCTTGTCCGAGGAAAGGAAACAAATAGTCTTGGACGCAGAAACCAAAGGCCAAAACATCTACTTATCGAGGATAGATGAGAAAGACTCAGAAACCGACGAGACGGACTCGGAGTTTGACGAGGACGATTCGGATGTGGATGAAGATGAGGTGGAGCTCAGCGAGGAGGAAGCAAAAGCGGTCAATACCCAACTGTGCAAACTGTGGTGTAGGAAATTTGGCCAGTCGGAGCCAACCCAGATTATCAGCAGCTGGGGATTGGATGACTGGGAGTCTTATTGGGACAAGGCCCGTTACATTGACAGCCGTCGAGGTGGTTAACTATGTACTTCATGACTTCAATGAGGATGACAACAGTAGAGAAAAGAATGGAAGCGACGACGGCGACGACGACGATAAATAACGATAATAAATGACGACAATAAATAACAACGATAAATGACGACAGTTAATGACGACAATACAAAGCACACAGAAAACGTAATCGCTATAGCGCCGGGAAAAGTAGCGGGACTGGTCTACTGTTGAGTGTGCAATGATTTACGGCACACTCCAACCACTTCTCTAAGAATCCACGCTGATCAACCTAAGCGATTTCGTTGTATCTCTCTTAAGCTGACGCATTTTCTCCAAAACAAAATATCTTTATGTCGGGTCCCTTGAATAATTCGAGATTGTCATTTACAGTAACTAACCTTAAAGGTTTTCTTTGATGACTTGCTCAACCGTATAGGTATCTCGTGTATGTATCTCCGAAGCTGAGACCAAACTCATAAGTACCTGGTCACGGACACATTCTAGCCGTTGTCTGTAATCAAATTTCTGTCTCACTCAGTCTGATCATTACTTTTTACCTATTTGCGCTTGCATACCTTCCGTAGGTTGCTTGTTTTTCCACGCCACAGTACGGAAGTTCTGACATTGCCATTTGTGCCCGTATCAGTTTGCACAATTCCCTGCCCTCTGTTTCCATGTCATTTCAGAACCGAGGAGCCACAACATGAGCCAGCTTGCTATTATCAACATGGATCCCACGCAACGCACATTTGCGGCGGACGCCACACCTACTTGGCAAGACCATGAAAACAATAACACCGTTCTCCTTTCTAGTGAGCTGAGCACCATTCCGCTCAGCTCACCATCGCCGAGTTTATCCACTGGAACCAACAAGATTACCAAAACGTACGCCAGTTGCGTTGATCTACCACAAGAACTTATCCTCGGCATTATCGGTTACATTGCTGAAAACTATGGAACAAAATCCACACTTGTCGATACAAATGCAGAAGGTCACAGGGTAAAAAAGGTTCTCTTTGAAAAGGGTCTGCAGTTTGCTGTGTGGCATGACCTCGTCAGTTTGGCCGCTTCTTGCAAGACGCTTTACCATCGCATAACGCCCACCATCTACGATATGAACGTTGAGCACGGTTTCGGCTCAGCTTTGGTGTCTTCCGCGAAATACGGCAGCTTGGATGGCATGATGTGGGCTCTCGAGAATGGCGCCGACGTCAATCAGACCGAGGTGACCAAGTCAAAGGATTCTCGATGGATGCCTCTCCATCATGGGATGACGGCCCTTCACTGGGCCTCGTATCATTGTGACCTGGACACAATGAGGGTCTTGTTGGATCGAGGCGCCGACCCGGAATGCGAGGTGGATACTTATCAACCCGGACTGTACGGTCCCCTTTCTTCCATCATTTCAATATTTTGGCGCCATCTGCGGTACACTGGCTTGTGGAGGGATAAGATATCACAGCTGTTAGCCAAAGGAGTGAACCCCCTCTTTTTCGCCCTTATCCCCAGCTACAAGGCCGCCGACCACCTCTATCTACCAGAATATCAGATCACGAGACAACGGTGTCGAAAGGCGGCTAGGACGCTCATCAACGCCGGGTCTTCCTTGATCACGCACAGAACGCTGGGAATTCACGCGCTTCACCAGGCGTGCGGCTCACGAGACGTGAACCTCGCCAGGCACCTGCTGGACCACTGCGACGCAGACGCAGACGTCAAAGACTGTCTTGGCAACTCCCCGCTGCACTACTTCGCCCTGGACGGTTTTGAGGGATACGATGACCCTGAAGAACTGGTCGGCTTGATGGTACAGCACGGCGCTGACGTCAACGCAGCGAATCTTGCAGGGTACACGCCGCTTCATTATGCCCTGGCCTTCTGGGACGACGGCCACCACTTGACGGACAAGACGGACCACATGGTCGCCTTGTTGAAGGCGGGAGCGTATCTGCTGCCTGAGTGCAAGGATCTTCGCGATAAGATTATCAACAACGACCGCTACAACGACGCGCAGTACGTCAACCGCCTGGTTTCGAAGGCGGTGAAACTCTCCAAACGCCACGCGATACGGTTTGACGAGAGGAAGTTGCCGACAATGGAAGAGCTTCGTGAAAAGGAGCAGATGGTGGCGCTCACCAGTTTTTATCACTGCTGCGAGGTGCCGGAGGAATATCAACTCTTTGCGGTCAAAGAATTCACCGATGAGTTGTCGAAAGATGAGTGGAGGGATTATTGGGTGCAGAGGTCAATTGATGGCACGTTGCAGTATCTTGGATGTTTTCCCCGCCATTCTTACAGAGATAACTTCGAATGCTGCACGTACCTAGTATGTCGAGGAAGGTTGTTACAGCTTGGCGCCGTCATAAATGCACCAACGCAGCAGGTTACACACTGCTCTATTACGTCGTGAGCTTCTGAGTGGAGGAGGAGCACTTTGATGAGGAAGTCGACCATCTGGTTGCTTTGGGGGCATGTCTTCTTCCCGCATCTGCGCCTGTGCTGCGGGGCCAGCTCCGCAGGAGCAGTAACTACGGAGACAAAGACATCGACTTTTGAGTATCGGAGGTTGAGGGGCATGCTACAACAGGGATTTTATCAAAAGGACGGTTGCCATCCGTTGAAGATTTGCGTCGAGCGTGAGAGAGTAGCGTACCGCAACTTTGATCGCTGCAGTAGCCCACCACAGAGTGCCAGCGTCCCCGATATCGATATTGAGAAGCTGGCAAGTTGAGAGTGGGGAGATCACTAGGAGCAAATATATTGGAGGTACTTGCTACATTATGTTATTTTTTTTCATCTTAAGACATTTCGTAAAACATCATACTTAAGTCACATGTGTGTACGCCATAGAGGCAGTTTCAATTTACTCCCAAAACACTGTGCTCTCAATCAGACGCCCAAGTAAGAAGAACGTGATGAAGTGGTTCTTCCATGCACCATGAGATAGATCAACTGTTGGAAAGGTCGTCTATGTGCCCAACCATTTCTCTCTATTGTTCCGGATGCTTGTCTATGCTTTTCAAAGGAATATGTTCTCTTTTGTGACCGCTCAAGGTGGAGAAGAGATTGGACACACTGCGGTAGAAGGTATGGGGGAGAACACAGCAAGCAGTATGTCTTCATTGTTGTGACCCATTTGTGAACAAACCTTTCCACTGTCTCCGTAGGAACAGAAAGCGTCAGAATGGGCAGAAGAGCAAACCTCCTGATCTTCTAATGTGTGTCTTCGGAATTTCAACGGCAAACTCCGGAAAGTGAAATTTTCTAGCGGGAGTTTGTAGGCGTGGAGGGTGATGCCGCCCTTCACCTGCAGGGAATCTTCACTCGCACTTCCCATGGTCTCCACCTGGACTTGCCGTCCACGTCTACCTACCTTATGTGGTAGCCACATCAAAGGAAGGAAGCAGACAGGCAGTCAGAATTGGAAGTTGCGGTCGTAGGCACCTTCCCACGCGTCTTGTCCCTGCCCCACCTGGAAGCAAAGTTATTTTCTTTCGGTAGGCAGGTGAGTAAAAATCTGGTACTTCCCCCTTCGCCTGTCCTTCCAGGTAATACTTCTTCCTCTTCGTCAATGTTTCTCTGCGATCACACTCATGACGACCGAATTGAGTGCGCATTGCAAGATTCACCTACTGGACCTACATTTCGTTCGGGTTGACCCAACCTTTTCGCTCTAACTGCATTGGCTAAGGTGACTAGTCACCTTCATTCAGTCTCAACAGTCCCGCGACTGTGATTTCCGAGCAGCTTTCGTCTAGAGGATCAACCTTGCCAGCCTCGCCTATCAATTCGTCTAAGCCTTTTCTGGCGCGATCCTCTCGGGCTTCCGTCGTCGTCCTTGATCTCTAGCATCATTCCGGATCTCTGTCGTCCGGATCTCTGTCGTCCGGATCTCTGTCGTCCGGATCTCTGTCGTCGTCGTCGTCGTCGTCGTCGTCGTCGTCTTCGTCAGTCACCCTCCGACAACATGGCGCACCCCGAGTACGCCCACCCGCAGCAGGTTCCTTCTTCCGAAGAGGTCGAAAGACTCGAGAAGATGATAGCCATGCTTTCCAACATCCAAAGCAAGCATCTCAAGCGCCCCGAGAGAGCTGCCATACGCGACGACTTCACATTGTCAAAGGCCGAGAGACGCTTCGTTCGAAAGCAACACGACTACCTTGACTGCGTCGCCGCCTTGAGCCCCGAACCCTTGGCTCTTTTCCCCGATGGCTCTGCTGTAAGTCTTTCGTGTGTTAAATACTCATTTCACAGTGAGCTGACAGAAGTCTGAAGGGTGCGAGCACCGGCTCGCACTACCTCTTCGCCTCACAGAACCCACACCGTGATGACGACAAGGCGAAGCAGCAATACACTGGACTGCAGCCCCAGCTCACTCTACCACAGATCAACGGATCTCTGGTCCCGGATAGCACCGATTCCTCATCCGTCATTAAGTTTGCGTACCGATTGCTGGCAAAAGAGGATTGGGAGCAACGCAGCAACAACAGCACTTTTCAATACTGTCAGGACCTTCTCTCTCTATTGAAGAAGTTTCACGGAGCTGCTAAGTCCGATGAGCGGTTTCACTGGCTGAACCTGCTGCATGATCTCGTTTACGTGCGAATGACCGAGAAGCTCCATGGTTGCGTCACCGACATATTTGAGAAGCACAACTTTGGCACCATCTGCATGACGTCCGTCGATCAGTTGGCCTCGCAATTCAAAGCGACCTCCATGGGAAAGTGTTTGCAACAGTCCCTTCGGTCAACTTCAGACCCAATCACTGAACTGGACTTGATGCCGTTCCAGAAAGGAGGTGCCACGAACCCTCAAGATGAACTTCAACACTGCTTTCGGAAAGGTCAGACCCAAGCTCAATCCACCCTGCTCAAGCAGATCTACAAGGAGATGCAGGTTCGGTATGGTCGCGGCACTGCAGAAGACGGCGAGAGAGCCTGGGAGCGTAGCCCTCTGAACGCAAACGGAGACCCAGAGTATGTTTTCTATGACGAAAAGGGTCGTTCTGAGTTTCAAAAGATCTTATCTGGGGTCATGAGAGCGGTCAAAGATTCTACGACAGAACTGCAAAACGCCAAAACAGAAGCAACCAACTACGCCCGGAGAACGAGTAAAGGCACCAAGGATTCCACGCAGCAAACCATGGAGCAATACCATATCGAGTCTCTTCAATACCTCGTTGAAGCCGCCGTCCGTGCCTATTCCTGCCTGGCAAGTCTTCGCGAGGACTTCAGCGAGATTCTGCAGTCGCACTCCACGTGGCTCTACGCAACCCATCAGCCTGGGGTCTCAGGCATTGATGCTAAGGGCACTGATGATTCTAGACTTCTGGAGAGCACGGCGATCCAATCAGGCTGGGAAGTGGCCGTGTCAGATGCTGTGGGCATGTTGTGCCGCCACCAAACTTCCCTCAACCACATCATGCACGCTTCACGCCACGTGACGAGATTCGTTCTGCAAACCTCCATACAGCCTCTTGTAACTGACTGGACGAGAAGGAACTTGACGTCCACGGCTGAATTATTGGCCTCCTTTAAGGGCAATAATGGAAAGCCGCTCCCGAACGAGGAGCAGCTTGCACTGGCTGAGTTCTTTGACGGCCACAAGACGGCCAATTCAGAAGACTTGACCTATCATGCAGAAGGTGTTGGGCTTTGTGCCCATGTGCTTGCACGGGTTCGTGACGAGGTGGTCAACTACAACGTTGGCCATGAGACTGCCGACAAGTCTCTGCTTTTGCCTCGCCGAGAGATCACTGATCATTTCCGAAAGATACCCATCCCCATGGCAGTCAACAAGGGATGTTGCGCGGTGTGCCACATCATGCTCGAAATCTTAGAGCGCGAATCAGGCCACAAGTTTCCTTGTTTGGGCGCCAGTTTCTCTAGTCATTCGGGATCCCAGAGCGACTGGAGCGCCGTTTCTATCCCTCGCTGACTCTATCTACGACCAGGTCGAGTCCGTCCTCCATGATGGTCTTCAATGGATTGTCAAAGAAAAAGGATTGGCGCGTGCGAACGAGAGTGGCAACAGCAGCGACCCCAACGGAGATTCTGCGCGGTTCATTGCTCGCATGACCATGCGAGACAACGGAGGGAGACCGCGTCCAGTCAAGCCTCAGGAGCCGGAGGAGCCGTAGGAGCCATGTTTGGGATGACGATAACGGTGATGGAGGGCGAAGATGACGATAACGACGATGACGATGGGGAACGACGATGGAGGACGACGATGGGGGACGAAGACAGTAGCGATGACGATAGCAGCGACGAAAGAGAGAAGCGTATTCGCTTCAGTATGAAAAGCAAGTGGTCTCGGCAGGCGGATTCCACACTAGACACTGGCCGGATGGGCATTGGACACTGTCCGGCAAGCATAACTCTTCGAAATAATGAACCCTGCCAATCCTCACATCGTCAAAATGAAGACCTTCACCGCAACACTTGCACTTCTAAGCAGCGCGAGTACAGCTCTCGGCCATGCGACCTTCTAGCAGCTGTGGATGGGCAACGAAGATCAAGACAGCAGCTGCGCCAGACTTCCGGTAGGCCGAGTCGCGATGGGATCCACAATTGTCACTGAATAACCGTACGTCAAGCCGAGCATCAGCCCCGTCACGGACGTCGCGTCAAACGATCTGCGGCGCAATGTCGGCGGAGCTGCGGGCGTCTCCGGCGAGGTCCCAGGCGAGGCGTCCCCACAACACCGAGACCTTCCCGTCCGGTTCCATTCTTGATGGAAATCGTTCCCACTACGCACTCCCCTTTTCGTGACCTAATGAGACATGCACGTAGAAAAGAGGAGGCTGCAGTTGCGGGTGCAATGCATCGTCTGCAACGCATGTTTCCCGCTCGCTAAGTTAGCGAACCCGATATAGCCGGCAGCAAGGTCTCGGTCGAGAGGTCGGCGAGCGCAGCTGCGCGAAACCCGCCATCAGGGGAAACCACTACGGCCCAGTGATGTTATACCTCCGCAAGGTGGCAGAGGATCGACGGATTTCTTCAAGATCGGCGAGTACGGGTATAACAACGCGGCCGCGGATGCGTCGTGGGGCACCGACGTGCTCAACGAGAACTGCGGGAGGTTCGACGTGTCGATCCCACCGGCGCTCAGGTCCGGGGGCTATCAGCTCCGGGCCGAGGCCATTGCGCTGCACGCGTCGTCGCAGCCCGGCGGAGCGCAGTCTTATGTGACGTGCTATATGAGCTTGCTACATTGGATACCTTTTTGTTTTGTTTTGGTGTTTGTTTGTGTGTGGTTGGCTGGTTCAGACGGTGTGTGTGGGTGTACACTGTTTCCTTGCGAGGTGTGACTGAGGCTGACCTACGTTTTGACGTTGTTTGCAGCAAATATATGCGAGTTTTTGGCGGAGGGAGCGCGACGCCGGCTGGCAGGCGCGTACAGCGCAGCGGACCCCGGCATCCAGGTCGACATTTGGGGCGGCGGGTGCAGCGAGGACACCATCCCGGGACCTGCCGTGGTGTCTGTCTAAGAGAAAAGATCAGGCTGGAGACGTTGAGAAAGATGCGATGATGTGCGTGCGATGGTTTGTTACGGCTGGACTCCGGTCTGGGACAAGTGGAGGCTGAGCTGGGTATGTATCGCGAGAGAGGGAGGGCGTGCGCGAGAAACATGTGACGGAAGAGATTGGCTCGCATAGAGAGGCAGAAAATTTTGCTTCTGCTTTGAAGGTCTTCTCACACCCCCTATTCTTGCTTGCTTCATCCTACGTATTCTTGTTTTTCCTGAGTCGGTGGACGTGGGTATAGTACGGTTGGCAACAGGGGAGAGATACAGCGCGTGCATATTCGGGGAAAATCCTGCATATAAGTTCGGCAGTATTGGGAGTCTAGAACACGTCGTCGAATGTCGCGATGGTGCGGGTAGGCGGGAAGTCACGCCACGAAGCGTTTGTTATCTTTGGCGGGCCCGACAAGGGGGCGAGAGCGAGGTCAGGAACTAGGCGGAATGACGACAGGGATGCGCCCGTAGTTCGGTGATGCGTGGAAAGGGTTTCGCTCCAAACTCGGAGAGAAAACAAACATCACGGCCTACGGATATCTTATGTACAAGCGGGGGGGGGGGGGGGATCAGTAACTTTTGGGCTGGGAAGGGTGGTCCAGACAACATGGCGAAGCTTGGACGAATACCGAGATTGAGAGGACAATGAGGCAATGAGGCAATGAGGCTCTCTGTCCTGACGCTAGACTCTGCCCACCGCCTGTTTCTTTATCGAAGAAAAGTGGATTCTGACTCGGGAGGCTCAGGTCTCGTAAGATGATTGCGATGGGGTGATGATGATGTTATCTCGTTGATTGTCGACGCTGGCGCTGGCCGGTCGGACGAAACCGGTAGACGGCGGTCAATGCCGGGTTGCACTGCTGAGGGGACGCTTGTATTTTCCGATTAGTTTTTGATGCAGTTTGCCTTTGGTTTTCGAAACGAAAGATAGCAGAGTATTTGGGAGATGTGTTTTGGATCTTTTGGTCTGGGAAAAGAATCATGAAAGGGTGTGTTGTGTTGGTAAGGTAGCGTCAATCTGGGCTGAACTCGCAGAAGCGAAAAACAAGAGGTGCAGGGCGGCGGCCATCACGGGTTTCGCTTCGGCAGCCACCTAAGCGAGGCGCTAGTCCCCTTGGGGGGTGCCGACGTCCGCCTTGCCTTACCTTAGGTATTCGTACCTCACCTCAAACAGCCACACCCGCTGGAAAGCTTGTCCCGTCCGGAATGCTTCCAGCGTTTCCTGGGCGCCACACTGCCGTCAGCTCACTGAACCTACGGAGTACCTCATGGTGAGTGGCTGCTAAACCGGTGAAATCTGCCCAGTCAGGTAACCCGAGTGGCGCACCGACACCAGGTTGGCGGTATCTTCCACTGAGGTGGCCGGGTATTGCGCTGGAAATAGCCCTGCAGCGGCTGCAGGAAGGGGAGGTCCCTGAAGCATGATCCAACGTGTGCCCGACATGTCACCGCGGCCCACCGAGCACGCCGCACCTCAAAGTGCCCCCCACCCATTTCCCATTTCTTCCCGCGTCCATCAACCTTGCTTCACATCCCTCCCGCTGCCCATCCACACGTCGCTCCGTCCGCGAGCACGAGCAAATTCGCATCAGCATCAGCCCAGTCGCGCCACCAGAGAACCCGAACCAGCAGACACATCACACATCATCGCATATCCACGAGCAGGATCTTCGTCGGCCCCTTGCTGCCCGTCCATTGGCCATCTGGCATTCGGCATCTCCATCTCCATCAATCTCCATCCCAAGTACCTCGCCAACCTACTGAAGTCTCTCGTTCCTGACCTTGCCTGCCTCGTATCCCTGCACACCATCTCCCGTCGAACGCTGCTCGGTGTGCTTCAGCGGATGATTCGATTCATTTAAATATGACCGCCCTCGACATGGCCAACGGGTCTGATTCCGGACCTTCCTGAACGGCAAGAGCCACTGTTCTACACCACATCTTTACCATTATCACATCTTTGCAAACAATCATCATGTCTGGGCTCACTACCCCGATAGACTCGTTACCCAACGAGGTCAGCCTTGGTTACTATCTAACACCGTGTGACTGCCTTGCTAACTGATCCATAGATCCTGATCGCGATCCTGTCCTCATTCGAGTCTCGCGCACTGCTCCCCATGACCCTCGTCGACCGCCGCTTCAATGCCACAGCCACCACCATCCTACAGCACCGTCTGCTCCACACCGCCGAGATGGAAGGCCACGAGATGATGCTCGAGAGCTACCACCCAAGCGCCAAGCTGACCACCCCCTCCATGTCGTGTCGCTTCCTGGGAGTCGACTTCCTTGACAGCCGCACATGGTCCGGCGACGACGACCTGGACTTGGCCGACCTCTCGCAGCTCTACTCGCACTTCCGCCCGGTGGTCTCGGAGGAAACCCGGCGCATGCGGAGGATCTACACCCGCCGCGTGCCCGGCGCCGAGGCCCCGCAGGAAGACGCCGGCGACGAGCCAGTCACCCAAGAGCTCTGTCTGGACGAGGGTGAGCTCTTCACCCAGCTCTGCACAACGACCAGCTTGGTCAAGACTGGCCCGAGACCCGGCGTCTTTGCGAGCCACAGCAACATCGAAGACGGTGTGGTGCGTGTCTGGAGGCATTGGCTCGAGCGCATGGCGGCCAAGTGCGCCATCGCACCGGAACAACGGGACCAGAGCACGATCTTGTGGGCCGATGCCACCAAGAACGTAGGACTACGCTTCCACGTAACACAGGTCGCACAGGAGCAGGCGCCTACCCTCCACTCGAGAGACGAGGATCCGCCTGTGACCTACTCTCTTCGCTACGAAGGTGAGCTCCAACGATTCAGTCCGTCACATGTGAGAGAAGCAAAGCAGCTGACAATGACATCAGAGTTGCTGGTTCGCACAAGCCAAGTGTTGCTGGCCATGGAGAAGTCAGCAGTGCAGGAGATTGTCGACTCAGGTAAAGCAATCGTCATAGCTTCTTATTGAGGGATCTTTCCCTCCGTCCGGCCGATACCGGGCCGGACCGACTATTCACACGCACACACACACACACACAACACCTTAGTACTCACCACCGACCAATGCTACCAACAACCTTCACCGTCGGAACTAGCCAAAGAAAAGTTTCCGAGCTACCGGTGAAAGGTCCCTGGAGCAAGGGCAGGGCGGCCTTCACCGGCCCAGCCCTGACCTGCGGCCGATCAGCCCCTCCGCTGGGCTGGACCGATTCCCACAGTCTGACCACTTAGTGGCGGCCACCCATGTGACAAAGCACCGATTCAGCCTCAGCAATATACGCAAAACACATCTTGGACATATTCTTGATCATTATGCTCACCATTATCCCCAATTTGTAGGTTTCGTCATGCAGCTCGACGCAAAGAGCGCCCACGCAATCGAGACCGTTCTGATGGCGCCTGCCATGCGCCCATTCTTCCCCCAGGCCGTCGCTGTCATGTGATGACATGTCACTTCTCGGGGGATTTGAGCAAACTTTATACAAAGTAGACGGACTAGATCGGAGGCCGACCTAGAGGCCTGGAATGGGGTCGCCGACGGAAGACGAACTCGACGGACGGGGCCGCCGGCGAACGAGACGTCTCACTTGTCGTTCGTGTCGAGGCCGTCAGGCCAGCCATGCAACGCATTACAACGGCAGGTCACCGTTTCAGCGACTTGGCATTATCATCATGCGCTCGCAGTAATGGAGGATGGCAAAAGTCCACGATTGGGCTGGAAATGCCCTGGGCACACCTAATGGGAATTTGAAAGATTGGCGTTTTGGGAGGAAAATTTAGATCGGGACGGATGCGCCGCGGAGAAGGCCCTTCGAGACCTTCGCGGACGGGAATTATTTGAGCGATGGTCAACAGGATATACAGGACATTATAGACCCCCTCCCACGGCGGCCTTTGACGACGCGGGATCGCCATGGCTGCTGGGAGAGCCGAATCAAGCAAGCATATGCCATGAACTCTCGGTCACTGCTTCCACTGGCTTGCCCCATACACATCCGACTGCTCCATTGTATGATCGCCGCTGCGGGGGCCGCTCCTACATTGCCGAAGACGCCGGCCGCGACGCCGTAGGGCGGCGAGCTGCGAGGGAGTCATGGTCATCACGTTTTTTCACTCGTCTGTCCGTCGCATCCCGTCGGACGTTACTGACGTGATGTCGAGATCGCCGTCATGGCCCTGCGGTCGTTGGCTGAAGGATCGATGGCTGTAACCTGGCGAGTGAGCCAAAGCTAATTGGTCACAGTTGAGTCTCAGCAGCGCATGCATCATTCGGCAGTAACAAGTTTTTTGATATTAGCAAGTTCAAAAGTCATTATGGTGAAATCGAATCGATTCCTCGGGCGAGAGGGCACTTTAACTCAAAAAATCGACATTATGCGCTGTACCCGAGGTTATCGCGTTCGAAGCCGTCAAAGTCGACATGGACATTGGCTGAAGGTTCCCACGAACCGACAGGGGTCCTTGTTCCTCGGGGGGTTTTCGAAACGGCCTGCAACGGATGGTTCTTCCCCCAACCCACAGCGGGCCAGCCAACCGAAGACCAACGAAGAACTTGGCCAATCTCTCGACGAACCACGGAACCAAAAGAAACAAAGCGGTCCGGATATTTCGCTTCGTGGGCGGAGCGAGACGTTGTCGCCGTGGCAAAATCAGACGTGTTGGGAGCCCAGGGGAGGGGGGCCGCGTTGACAGCTCCCATCATGACGGATGACAAGCGCCAAATGCAACGACAACAGATGGCCACGACACGAACTCCATCATGATCAAGACGACTCCTGCAGTAGTGCACGTATCCGAGCGTGCAGAGAGCCGCCATTTGGCTGGGACGCGCGTCAATCAGCGGTCTTTTTCCCGCTGAATTGTCATTACGAAGATCAGGGAAAGCATCACACTCCCATCACTGTTGATCGTGCACCATGTGGCTGCGCGGCTGTCTTGGTCACGGCAAGCCCACGATCGGCTGGCTGAAATAACCTTTTCTTCGACATCGGCCACATTATGCACAAAGCACGTTCGGGCGCAGAAAGTGCCCAGGGTTCGCCCGTTTCCCGCGCTAGCATTGAGCCTCTTCAGCCTCTTTCTTCGAGAGCCGGCCTCGTGTGGCCAGTCCTTGCACATAATACTGGCCCATCAGAAAAATACAATAATCGCCAACTCCTATGATATACCCAAGAGACAGTCCCAGCATCAGGAAGGTTTCAGCCTCTAGTCCGCCCAGGCCGGCCATGGTCCAAGCACGCATCGGATGGGGGGACCGTTTGACAGGGCTCAACATCCCTGCAAAGGGCCATGTCTCGTCCAATGATGCCCTCGGTGACAGGGGCCGAACTCTTCTGCCCACCTCGCCGCGTGCAGCAATCATGCCTGGGCCGCCAGGGGTATTCACGTAGGCCGCCTGTCGACCACAACTCATGGCCAAGGTCAGGTCCGTGAGGTTGCATCGGGGTCGCTTGGAGCCGTTGAGAGAGGAATCATGGGAGTGACCCGCCCGGGACCTGGGTGGGTTGACATGTTCTTTCTTCAGTGCCGGCCGAGACGTTCGAACGTGAAATCTTCCCATTCTTTCTTCATCATGCAATAATTTGCAATATTTGCGCCCCAATAGCTGCAGGACGGCAAACAAGGGCTTGGAGCATGTCGGCCCCCGATCTCGTCCGATAGCTAATTCAACAACCATATTCCCTTCTTTGCCCTTCGCTTGGCTCGTTCTTTTTTTCAATCATACTCCACCGGTTGGGCTTGTTTCTTTTCTTCTTGTTTCTTATTCTTCTCTTCTCTTCGACATTTGCTTGGTGTATCACTGCTGGTTCAGTCTTTACCGTGAGCTGGACTCGAAACCTTTTTACGAATACGACCTTTTTGACGACTTGAGGGGGGATAAACTTGGGTAATACACAGTCGACGAGATGGAGAAGGACGTGGAGAAGGGGGACAGCGAGGTTGCGAGGCCGAGGGAGAGCCATCTTGCCGTACACCCGGGCAACAGAGTGTCGCTGGCGAGGGTATCGATCGGAGGACCGCCACCGCCGCCGCCGCCGAAGGAGGACGTACCCCGGCCGATGACGAGCTCGACGAGGAGGTTATCGTTCTCGACGACGTACAGCGAGCGCAAGATCAAGTACGGCACGGGGCGGCATTCACAGACAGAGCTGAGTCCTCAGCCGACCGATGACCCGGACGATCCCCTGGTAGGGTTTCCAACCTTTCACGTTTGATGAATAGCGTTGACAATTTTGCGCAGAACTGGCCCCAGTGGAAGAAGGAACTCAACTTTGTCGCGCTTTTGATGACGGCTGGACTAGTGGGAGGGATGAAGACGGCGTACATCAGCGTCAACAGCGTGCTCGCCGTCCGTTTTAACGTCTCATACACGGCCGTCGCGTCACTCACCGCCGTGCCGCTCGTCATCTCAGCATTCACAGGCCTCTTTAGCGTCGTGGCGTCCAAGATCTGGGGCAAGAGGCCGGTGTACCTCATCTCGATGGTCCTCATCTTCATCGGTGTGATAGCGAACATGGCAGCGGGGAACAACTTTGGCGGGTGCATGGCCGGTCGCGTCTTCCAGGGCTTCGGCTGGGGAGCCTTTGACACGCTCATCCTCGGTTCCATCCAGGATACTTACTTTGTATGAACTGCTGCTGGCTCGTCTTAGTTATGAAAGCTGACCATGGATAGGAACATCAACGTAACGTTCGCATCACGATATACAACATCCTCACCGTCGCGACGACCTGGGGCGCACCCCTCTTTGGCGGTCTCGCCTCCGCAAACGCAGGCCGCTTCACCGTGCAATTCGAAATCATCAACGCCTTCCAGTTTATCGCGATTCCGCTTCTTCTCTTCGGCGCACCCGAGACCGCGTTCGAGCGGTGGTTCAGCAGCAGCCCCGCCCCGACTCCCGGATCCGTTACCTCCTCGCCGTGGGCGTCGCAACCCCCGAAGCCTCTCGGAAGACCCAGCGTTGAGGACGCCAAGGCCTATCTACGCACGATGAAGCCCGTGTCGTTCTCGGGAACGATGGACTTGCGGACGATCTTGCAGGCGCCGAGAGCCTTTGTTGCGCCGACGACAGGGCTGCTCGTGGTGGTTACCTTCCTACCGTACTGCACTCTCTGGGGTCTCTCCGAGTCCCTGTCTCTTTTGTTCTTCCCCATGCCGTGGATGCTCTCCGAGTCAAACATTGGCGCGCTCATGACTGCGCCGTTCCTCCTGGCCATCATCGCCGTCGTCGCGACAGCCTTCTGGCGCCGACGCGCGTCGGACTACACGCCGTACTGCATCGCATGCACCCTCGCAGCCGGCACAGTCCTCGCCTCGTCCGGCATCCTCGCTTTCGGCCTCAAGACGCACGACGTCATGTCCGAGGTCTCCGCCAGCGCCGCTGCACCTTCGAACGTGTTCGCGACAGACGGCGTCGGCACGCACCTCTCCTTCCCGCTCGTCTCGCTGCTGCTGGGCCTGCTGGCCGCGGGCGTGGGGACGCTCGACACGGCGATCCGGCCCGTGATCTGGCGCTCGACGCAGTTCACGTCGAGCAACATGAACGTGTGCCTGCGGAATGTGGCGGACATGGATGCTGGCGTGGTGTGCTGGCGGAACTTGTTGAGCGGTGTGTTTGTGATGACGGTGCCCGGGGCGATTGTGATGTGGGCCGGGCTGAAGGCGACGGTGGTCGGGCTGGGAGTCACGCAGGTGCTGGTGGGCGTGGCGGGGTGCGCGCTGTGGTGGATTTATGATGAGAGGGTGAGGCGGTTGGATGGGATTGTGATGGGGTTGGTTGATTTGAGTATGTTGAAGAGGACGGGGAGCTTTTTTGATACGGACTGAGTATTGGTCATGACTTTTTTTGGATTTCTTTTGTGTTTTTGGGGAGGATGATGATGGTGTAATGACCACGGCCGGTTTCGAGGGGTAGTGTGTAAGATTGGGAGGCGAGGATGAGAGGACAGGACGCGGTATATGAAATGGTTCTGTCCGTTACTTTCTTTTGTTTTTGAGATACCAGGGGATGGATGAGAAAAGGACAAATTGTGGGGATATTTGAGATTGGAAGTGATGAGTGGGAGATGGTGAGGGAGAGAATGATTGTGAGGGCAAAAAGTAAACATCTAAATAGTCTTTGCGTGTTCATGTCGTACTTGGACGCGCGAGTAATGAATGCCAACACCACGCTCACTTTTTGTCATTGTGGTTCTGTGTGTCTTGGAACGTTGTTTTTTCGGAGATGAAGGGATTTCCTAATAGGGGTGTTTATGTGCTCCCTTCCGCCGGGGAAAAGGCTTCGTCCGCGGATGAAACCAGCCCAAGAAGCACCCTCCAAGCCGGCATCACCACCTCACCTCCGATCCGACCAGGACAACGCTGCCACGAATCCGAGAGTTGAGGCACTCGCGAAGACACTTACAAGTTTGGTGAAGGGCGGGTATGAGTCGTGCTGGGTGGCTGGTGTCTCTTGCGGGTTTGTTTGAGAATGCGACCACGTATCTAGAAGGATAGCTGACGAATGAGATTGGCATTGGCATTTGAGATGGCTGGTTGGCGTTGCTTAAAGTTGTCATTCGTCTGATGTTCATCTGACTCAAGTCGTCTGATGTCGAGTCGGTGGTGACGGAGGGATGCGATTGGGTAGTTGGCTTGGGTTTGATCGTCCGGAGTTGGAGGAGGTTGCGTCGTCTGATGTTTTGGGAGGAGGATGGGATGAGTTGGGGGCTGCGGGTTTATGCGTGAGATTTGTGAGGATGATTTTGAGGATTTTGGTGATGGGTTCGAAGGCAAGATTAACATTATCGAAAGCTATCTATGATGAAGTTGGTTCACAACATGTGGTCATCGAAGCCGGTTCATGGTGATCTTTCTATATCAAACAGAGATACTCCGCACACATATCCTGCGGCCCCGAAAACATCGACACCTCATCAAACCGATCCCTCACCGGCCGCGCCTGTATCTCCAGCCTATGCTCCGTCATCCCGCTGGGAAACCTATGCGACGTCACCGCAGCCTGCACCTCTAACGACTTGGCCGCCAGCACCTCCGCGTCCTCCCGCGTCACGATCCCCGTCGCCTCCTCGTACTCCGCGCGCAGCACGAACCAGCCCGACGCATCCTTGCAGTCCGAGATCACGGGCGCCTGCCGCGTCCCGCCGAGCGTGTACGGCGGGTACGCGTAGCTGCTCGGGTCCCAGGAGCGGCGGATCAGGTGCCGCAGGCCCTCGGGGTTGTCGAGCTCGCTCTGGCTGTAACCGCCCCAGAGGGTCGACCGGCCGAGGAGGAGGTCGGCGCGCGTGGGGACGTAGACCCAGGCTTCTGGCTGGGGAGGCAGCGAGAGTGTTGATGAGGAGGAGAAGGATGTTTCCGGGGTGGAGCCTGGGCGGCCGAGGCCGAAGAAGACGCGGAAGTCGGGGTAGTGCCATTTCCGGGAGTGGATCTCGCCGCCGTTCTTGCGGGTGAAGGTGACCCAGTCGCCGTCTGCTTTTTGTTTAATGCTGACCATGCCCACGAAGCCCGGCTGGGCTTTTGTGCAGAAGGTGGACGTCTCGGCGAACCAGAGGTGCGCGGGGAATCCCGTGGTCACGCTCACGCGGTAGCCCGTGGGTGATTTACATGAGATGGAAAAGGTGTGGTCGGCCTCGCGGATGACGGACCGCGACTGCGGCGGGGAGAGGTGTCGTGGGATGTGGACCTCGCGCTTGTCTGCGATCTTGGGGTTTGTGCCGCGCGACCACTCGAGGACCCAGCGGCGGCGGCGGACGAAGGCGTCGGGGGTGCGGAAGAGCTCGATGCAGACGTAGAGGTGGTGGTTGATGTCGGGCGGCGGGCGGGAGGGGGCGAGGTAGTAGTGGTTGAGCTTCATGACGAAGGCGCGGCGGTCTTGGGGGAGGAGGGCCTCCGGAACGAGGGAGGAGGGGAGGCTGGATGTGCTGCGGCCCATTGTTGCGTCCGAGTCGCCTGATTCGGAGGGGGTGTTGTCGTCGGGGGCGAGGCGCTCGAGGTGTTGCCGGGAGATGAGCATCACGTCTGGTTTGAAGTGGATGCCCTTGTTGGTGATGCGGATCTCTGTTTGCTGGATGGCTGCGTCCTGGATCGGGACGAGACACGAGCCGTCTGCGAATTCATCAGGGGACTGCGCGAGGAGACCGCGGAAGGCCTGGGTGTCGTCCTGGGACGAGTCCCACGCGAAGAGGGAGAGGTCGGTGCTGTTCTGGAGGATGGCTTCTTGCAGGCGCAGAAACGCTTTGCGGCCCTCGCCGTAGATCAGGGGTAAGTTGACGTCGAAGATGCCGAACAAGCTGTAGGCCCGGTCTTCCTCGCGCTTCGTCCGGCGGCGCGCGGCCCAGGACATGCGCCGCGCAACGGGGACTTCGTACACCGCGGCTGGGTCCTCGAGGACCTCCTGGTCGATGCCTGTGATGCTCGCGAGGAGGGCTTGGAGGTGCGCCTTGGAGCCGATGTCGTTCCAGTTCTTGTCAAAGAAGGTGATGTCCCGGGACGCGACGAGTTCCTGGAGCGTCCAGCCGCGGGAGAACCAGCGGCACTGCCCGAGCTCCGCAGCAGACAGCTGCTCCGCGGACCGGAAGAAGCTGCTGCGAGGTTGCGACGTTGATGGGGGGTAGTCGGAGAGGTAGGCGTAGCAGATGTGCGCGTCGTTGTACCAGCGGAACATGGAGTTGATGCTCTCGGTCAGTTCTGCGCTGCTGCTCTTGTCGATGCAGCAGGTGTCGACCCACGCCCACTCGATGCCGGCGGCGCGGGCGATCTCGCAGGTCTTCCAGATCTTGGTGAAGCCGGGCTTCTTGGAGGCGTGGACGAAGTCGGCCATGTCGTGGAAGGAGACCTCGCCGTCGGACCAGGTGTGCGAGAGGATGGCGTACGGCAGCGAAGGGGGCCCGCCTTGGAACTCTGCGAGTTTGAGCGTTGTTGTGTTGATTAGCCACATTATGGGTGATTTGGTATCATGAGATGCCGCATGGCAATAGGTGGGTTTTGGGGTGTGATGTGGAAGATAGTTTTATGTTGAAGTCTTGCTGAAGATGAGGCTGTGCTGCTGATGTTGAGGCTTGTCAGCGCGGGGTGGGATCGCGCGGGATGGATGCAGGTAATCCTTGCTCTTCAGGGTCGTGTGCCCCAGTGAAGTTGACGAACCGGTGTTGGGCATCGCTGCATCGGAGAATTCTGTTTGATTGGACAGGATGATTTTCGACTTTGGATAGCACCACGTTGCGGCTTCGGTGAGTGTTCTGGGGTTCTTACAGAAATCCTTTCACTCCCATTTCTTAAGCAATACGTCCAATCATGTTATTGAACGTTTGGACCCTGAGTGATGAACTGTCAGCCCTAAGCATTTTGAAAAAGTTCATGATAGTTCATTTCGTCCTCTAGCCGAGGCACACTTTGGGCATTCCGGTTTGGTGCAGTTATGCCTAGGCACATTGGATAAAGATCCATGGGAGGTTACCATGCACTCTGTCAAGTTGAAGAACATATTGATGATTATGAGTCTACCTAATTACGGCGATCCCAACGATCGTTCATTTCAAACACAGTTTCTACTCCTCCTGACGTGATCTCAACCGTATTCCGCACCTTGCCCCCTTGCAGTATAATCGCCTCACTCCCGTCGTCGCTGATGTGGCCCGATGCTCTGGCCGCAGCACGCGAAGTAGTCCCGCTCTGGAACTCGCCCTCGGATTTGAGATACTTGCTGCCCGAGCGGTACTTTCGCGCGTAGTAAGCCCTGGCGTCCCGGAGGAGAACACGCAGCACTGGGATGGACGCGGCTATGATGGTGGCGTTGGGCTCGGCGTGGATCCAGATGCTTAGAACCGCGAGTCGACGGGAGACTACGCAGTCGATATCAGCCTTGAACTGCCTGGGAGAAAGACGTACTTGAGAAACTCACATTCAGGCCCAACGGCTCTTGCGGCCCAGTAGGACTCGACTGCCTTTACAATTGCCACGCTTCCAGCTCTACATGTCGGTCGACGTATTAGCACGTGTTGTGCATCGCATACAATCTCTCCGTGTTTTGACTTACAAGCAACCAATGCCCATGGCAATTGCCACACCAGCCTTTTCACGCTTGATCATTTGCAACCCCCAGACAACCTTGATCGGGATCATGGCCAAGATGAAGTCGGTAAGTGCTGATATAACTGTAGTAGCGTCAGCTTCCAATTTCCCAATCCCTCCACCGAACATGTTTTCTTACTCGACCCAACCATATTCATCCAAAGCCCGCTATCAGCAGACCAACACGGTTGAAACGTATGCGGATCCGGCGCGCCGCAGTTCGCTCTCCACACCAGCACCGAGTGCGCAACACACATCGCGTCCATCACGAACGCAACCACGATGACCAGCCACCTCGCCCACCCGCTCGTAAACCTGCACAGCGTGAGCGCGAACGAGGTCTTGCTGAAAGCCAGTGAGAGCTTCATCGCCGTGTCGGAAGCCAGGTTCGCCGGCATGATCACCGGCCCCGTCAGCGTCGTGACCAGGTACCCCCTCCGGTAGATGACCGTCTGCAGTATGTCCGCCAGGATCAGGAACATCCAGCCGATCAAAAGTAGGTAGTCGTCCCACCACATCTTCCGCGTCCGCGCGGCCCGGCAGTAGAGGCGGAGACCCAGGAAGATGGTCGACACCGAAGCCATGGTCCACGCTGATGAGAGGACCATCGTGGCTACGGAGGGGTCCCCGGAGGGCATCGGGTACATGATTGCACCTTCCGACATTGTGGCGGCGTCGTTGAGCAGGAACTTGCGAGGCACATTTGAGCCACTCCGGGCTCCTCAGAGAGACGACACGCCATATTTGTACGGGATACGGCTTATGCAGCAAGACTCCATCTTTGACAGGTTTGACACCTTACGTAAGGCCTGTCATGACTTGTCAGGCGTGATGTGGATGGAGTCTCAACTTTCTTTTTCCTTATTCTCGGGTTTTGGACCCAGAAATAATCCCATGCACGCTGTCGGCACAATGTGTGAGGTTGCGCGGCGGCACGATATTCAATCCGGTTGGACTGGATGATTATTGATACGGGCTTGGAGCTCCACATGTGTTTTACAGGCGAAAGGGTTGTCTAGCAGGCTGCAGTATCGCGACGAGGATTCTCGTGGGGGCTTTGATGCGAGAAGACCCACGACGGTTGCTGCAGGAGCGGCACAATCTGCGGGAAATAGAGAGGATGCTGCGTGTGTGTTGTTTTTCGGAATGTTGACCGCCGACCCTTTCATCAAAAGAAGGTTTATCGGCCATGATGTTTTGTGATACCCCGAGATTCAGCAACCTCGGTTGTGTGCAAGTTAAGAAACAGCAGGACATGGGCTGGAAAGTTTATGATATTGAATCTGAGATTGAGTATTGTGGACTCCACGGAATCCACGCGGCCATAAACATGGTTTCACGACGCCCGATATCTTGGGTCTCAAGCAGCCAACATAACGAACCAATTTCATCGCGCTATCCCATCAAATTCAGATACAATCGCCTGCGCAAAGGAATGAATGATCAAGACTGCTGACCCCTTCCCAGCCCTCCTCGCCGCTCCGGGTGGGTCCCGACCCCGGTCCGACCCCGGCGTCACCCTACCAGAGCAGCACCATCTCCGGGCTCGGAGGAGCCGGGCACGACCAGCAGCCAATAGCACACATGGGCAGAACCAACAGAGTCCGACTGAACCCATTCCCCTACCAAAAAACGATTCATGAACATCGTTCGATCTTGGTTGCCCAGACCCAGGGGTGCCGAGGACCTTTTGACCTTGTAAGGCGACGGGAGGGACAGGCGCTCGAAGGCAAGACATCACTAGGCCGTTGAAGAGGGCCGCATATGCAGCAATTTAAATATTGGCGGAAGAGTCTTCCGGGAGCCGGCTTGCTCAACGAAACCCCACCTATCGCATCTTGCCGTTGAGGTGATTTTTTCCCGGGCAATGGAGCGGGGGTTGTTCGCATGCGAATGCGACGAAACGTCGACGGGCTTTTGCCAATGAACATTTGCACCACGCGAGAGTGGGATTGTAAGCCACGCGAAGTTTCCCAACTCTTCTTAGCGAGGGCCTGTGGAGTTCGATTCCGTCTGACTGCATGGCTGCATGGATCCCGAGCCCGAACAACAAGAACGGTTGGCGCCCCCAATAACGGTCATAAAAGGCTAGTTGCCTCTTTTCATCTCAGAAATCTCCGTGACTGAGTGTGTGATTAGTTTCAAAGTGAACACACACGGCAAACATGTCTCCCCGACTTCCTCGCCTATCCGCTCTGGCGACAGTCGTCCTTGCCAGTCTTGCATCTGCAACCCCTCGGCTGGTCGCTCGGCAAGCCAATGAGACCCTGGGCAGAGGTGTAAGAAATCCCCACCACTGTCATTGCTTTTGACAAAAGAAACGCTTTAACCCTCTTCTTTCTGCAGTGTGCTGCTCTCGTCCACGCCGGCCTCTCACCGCAACTGTATTTCTCGGCCGATAGCGAGTACGTCGAGACGCTTGAGTCGTACTACGACGGAGCCGTCCAGGAGGTGACCCCGCGGTGCGTGTTCAAGCCGGAGAACACGGCGCAGGTCGCGACCGCTCTGAGAGCCCTCAGCGCTGAGGATGGCGGCTGTTGGACGGTGGCGATTCGTAGTGGAGGGCACTCGCCTGTCCCGAATAATAATGCCCAGAATGGTGTGACGATTGATCTTGGCCGGCATGATTCGGTCACGTACAGGGAGGATGAACATGCCGAGGTAGGGTTTTTGAAGAAGAAAATTGGTTTTGGTTATTTGTTTCAGTTGCCGGAGGCTGACAAGTACCATAGAAGGGACACGGAGTCGCCTCTATCGGCTCTGGTGCCAGATGGGGCGATGTCTACACCGAGCTTGAGAAAGAGGGCGTCATGGTCACCGGGGGACGGGAAGGTCATGTTGGTGTCGGAGGATTTCTTCTCGGCGGCGGTTAGTTAACTGGTTGGAAGATTGGGTACACCGGCTAACACGTTCGAAAGGCTTTGCTTGGCACTCTGGTAAACATGGGATGGCGTGCGACAGCGTCGTCAGCTATGAGGTATCTTCTGAAGATATAAATGCTGTGAAGATGACCCTGATAACACGTTTACAGGTCGTTCTTGCCAATGGCACGGTGATAACTGCGACCTCTACCAATCACCATGACCTCTGGCGGTCTCTCAAGGGTGGCTTGCACAATCTGGGTCTCGTCACGCGATTCGACATGCGAACATTCCCTTCCCAAGACGCCTACGGTGGTATCACGGCGTTTTCATACGACCAGGCTGAAGCCGTGCTAGAGAAGCTCGATGCAATGATTCGAAGGAACCCAGAGAACCCAGCAGAGAACGGCTTCGTGTCCTTGTCTTGGAACCCTGCCACGGGTCCCTCTGCGGCATTCGTCCTCGCCAACGTGGATGGTGTAGAAAAATCGACATCATTTGTGGGACTCGAAGAGTTGAACCCCGTCGTTGACGCGCGCTCTCATGCTCCAATCTCGAGTCTCGTGAAACAGATCGAGGGAGGGTTGGGGCTCTACAACGTGTGGCTCACCCTCTCATTTCACTCCTCCATGAGCATGGTCCGCAAGGTAATTGAAGTGTTCGACAGCCTCGTTGCAGAGTTCGAGAACACTCTCGGCAACGACGACCGGATTATCTTCGTTTTGACACCTCTGCCGACGAACTACGCGGGACACGGCGAGAATGTTCTCGGTATCAACGATGCGGGTTACGAACCGAGTATGGTGCTTCAGGCTGAAGCTCTACTAACCACGCCGGAGCATAAGGAGTTTTTGACAGAAGCTCTTCAGCGAGCAGTCGAAAGCACCATATTCCTGTGGTCTGCTACCACGCACCAGCGTACGAGGTGGAAATACCTCAACTACGCTAATCCCCTTCAAGATGTGTGGTGGACTATTGGAGAGGATAGGTTCTTTCTAAATCGCACAGCGCAGGCATATGATCCCATTGGCTTCTTTCAAACTCGGGTTTCGGGTGGGTTCAAAATATCACAATCTGACTAGGCTCAATAAAGGCGATATGCCGAACCATCGATAACTATAATCAGACTCATGTATTAATAAGAACTCATAATCAATACTAAATCGCACTGATATCGCACTGGTGGCTGAAACTGTCAGGGCTTGAAACCATACCAGTCATCGCTCACTGGTACAGCTCAGGATAGGCGGCCTTGATCATGTCGGATCCCTTCTCACCAACCATGTAGACCGCATTCTGGATGCGGCAGTCGGGGATGACCGGGATGACGGAGGCATCAATCACACGCAGACCCTTGACACCAAAGACTTGCAACTTGCCGTCGACGACACCCTGGTCAATGCTGGGAGACATGCGAGTGGTTCCACAGGGGTCTAGTCAAAGTCCACCGTTAGTCTCACAATTCTCAATACAGTCCAGGAAACTTGTCACGAGTGACAAATGAGGAATTCCACTCACGGAAGCCAGTCTGAGAGCGCTCCAGGATCATCTTGATCATGGCCTCATCGGAAGAGCGAGGCATAGGCCAGGGGTAGTCGCCCTCGATGATGTCCTTCATGCCCTCACCATTCATGATAATGTCGTCCACGAAGCGGAGGCCCTCGCGCATGGCGATGAGGTCGAGGTCGTCGGAGAAGAAGTTGAGGTTGATCTTGGCCTGCTCGAGGGGGTCCGCGGAGTTGAGCGTGACGGTGCCGTTCTTGGAGAGGGGGCGGAGGAGATCGACGATGACGGTGAAGTAGTCACCCTTCGGAGGCGTGGGAATGTGCCACTGGAAGGCGTCACAGAACATGGGCTATCGTCACATCTCATTAGCTTCGGCTGATACTGACGTTTCCGGTTACGGGAGATACTTACAACAAAGTCAATTTCGAAATGGGGCTGTCCTCCAGGACCGAAGGGGTCGACACCGCCGTTCTTCGCGAGGTACTCGTTGTACTCTGCGCAGTTCTTGAGGCGCTCGTCGATACGGGGGAGGCCAACGAGCTCAAGCAGGCCGCTGCTCAGGGGACCCTTGTTCTTCCAGTGGTAGGCGGAGACAGCGCCGTCGTGCTCGGGGCCAGCGCGGAGGAGGTGCTGGTCGAGGCCGTAGCCGTCCTTGAGCTTGAAGACGTGGGGCATGATGGGGTGGTCGAGAAGGTTCTGGCCGACGTGAGGGGAGTCGACAAGGGTCTTGATGCCGAAGGACTCGAGCTCCTTCTTGGGTCCGATTCCGGAAAGCATCAGGAGCTTGGGCGATTCGTAGACACCGGACGAGACGATGACTTCGTACTTGGCGCGGAAAGTGAGGTCCTCGCCATTGGGACCGAGGACTTCGACGCCGACGGCCTTGCCGTTCTCAATGATGAGGCGCTTGGAGTAAGTCTGGCCGATGACGGTGACGTTCTTCTTGCCCTCGATGTAGCGCCAGCTGGAAGAGCGCTTCCCCTTGTAAATGGAGCTGACCGCAGTAGTGAGGCCGTGCATCTCGCCGTCGTAGATCTCGTCGTTCAGCTTCTCCCCCTTGCTGACCCAAGCCTTCTTCAAGGCGTCACGGAAAGGGGCGGCCTCGGCGACCAGCTCAGCAGGCGAGACATGGATTGGGCCGTCGGTACCAATGTGCTGGAGGTACTTGGGCAGCAACCCCTGGTCGTCGTGGAATGTGGCAGGCTTGTCGAAGTACTCCTTGCAACCCTCCCAGTTCCACTCGTCGCCGCCGTAGGGGGCCCAGTCGTCAAAGGTGGCTGCGCTGCCGCGGATCCAGGTGTAGTAGTTCAAGCAAGAGCTGCCGCCGAGAACCTTGCCGCGAGTGTTGGGCTTCTCGATGCGGGTGTAGTCGGGGCGGTCGATCATGCCGGTCTTGTAGCCCCAGTCCCACTTGCTGCCGCGGAGCTCGAAGGCGCGGGCGGGGGTCATGATGGCCTCGTTGTCGATGGGGTTGCTGACGCCGGCCTCGATGACCAGGATGTTGACGTTGGGGTTCTCTGCTAGGCGTCCGGCGACGACGCAACCGGCAGTGCCACCTGATAAGGGGTGAGATAACTGTGTTTGTTAGAGAAACTATAGATCATAGACGTACCACCGACGAGGATGAAGTCGAAGTCCTTGACATTGTTGATAGCAGTCATGTTAGATAAGATTTGGTGAATAAAGATTAAGTGTAAGATGTGATTTCAGAGATGGTAAGTTGTGTTGTTTCAAAGATGTGTTAATAGGTGTGTGTTAGTTGAGTGTAAGCTGTGTGGTGATGAGGTAGGTGTTGACAAAATGCAGGAAGTTGAGGCCATACTTATACATCTCAAGAGACGGCAAAACCGAGGATCAGTGAAGACATTTACAACGTTACTTGCACATACATGGAGTGCGAATGCCGTCATTCCGTGTGACGCCGAAGTCTAAGACTGCACGGGGCATCTGCACCCTTGCACCCTTCAACCGGAAGTCTCGCCGGCGGTTTGGTACTAACTGAGATATCCTGCCGACAATTTGGTCGATGTTTCCAAGTTTGAGATGCCGAAAGCAAACTGCGGGAATTTCTCAAGCGTAGCACAGAGCTTGTTGTCTCGCTAAGTGAGCTATCACCACTGGAAGTCTTTCGTTGATGCTGATTACCATGGTCATGTGGAACTCCGCAGCAAGCCACTCATCAGGCTCAAGGCAGGATTGCCGGTGCCCGCCGGGAGTGAGTAAGGTTTGCGTCTGAAATTTGCACCAGCTGACCGACTTTCAAGCCTCAAGATTGTGGTCTCCGGTGAACACCGCACAACTTGACGGAGAAGTAAGGAGCCGGGCCGGTTGGGTGGATCACGGCGTTCGGCTCCGACATGGTCGGGCCCGGTTTCGGTAAACCTTCGCTCTTCGGCGTTTTTTTCGCTGCATAAGCCAATCAGCATGACGGAAAGCACAGTTACCTAAGCTCTGAGAATTCTCGGGATTCAACTTTGTTAGTATTGCAGGTCCCTTATTGGCTGACTTTTCAACTACCAACTTGCCGAGCCTCGACCGCATACTTCTGAGCGCTGAGCCATTGAGACATATCGAGAGGCTTCTTTTTGACTTCGGCATTGAGAAATTCAAGCAGCTGTTCAGCGCACTCCGCAGTCCCCATTCGAGTGGTTTTCGCATCGGTATCTCGAGGTCAATTTCGGGTTCACATGTGCGTCAACCGTTGTGGGATTGCACCGGCAACCGTCATCAAACCGGTTTGACACAATTGTAGTCCGCCCAAATGTCTTTTTGGTTTAGGTTCGTGAGAGGGCATTTTGTGTAAAGAACGGCCGATGAGATGCTCCGGAAGACTGAAGCGGTGACGTTGAATTGTCGTGAATTGGGGTGTGATCTTCTCCTTAGTACTGGTGTTACGACCCGTTATGCATGGATAACAGTTGACCGACCCACTTGGGCGTCGGGCGGCTAGGACAGGACATTTGTACTGCAGGATCACGGGAACAACAGGGACTCACTCGGAACGGAAGAACTATAGTACAGGTCACGTGATGGTAAGAAGGACCGACGAGAGATAAGCGGTCCTGACCTAGGACCGACATGGAGAAAGCGGTCCACACCCGGGGACCGCTCGGAAGACATCGGTCCTCAGAGTAAGAGGACTACCCTAGACTTGTATATAGTATGACCTGAGCCTGGCTCATGGCCAAATTTCCATAGCTCTTCAGCAATCAACTTGTGATTATCACCACAGATACTTTCAGCTCACCTTCACTGCGAATTACTTGTTGAGTCTAAGACTGATCACCTTAGCCTCTGAAGACTTGATCTACTACAGCCTACGACCTACGACCACGACCCCAGTGTACTGTTTTAACGTCAATCCCCAACTTCTGTTAGCAGACCCTACTGTCGGATAGCTGACCGTAACAT